CATACATTTTGCAGCGTTTTCATGCATTCGTGTGGTCGATTTGTTTATTTTATTTTACGTCTCCGTCTTTACAAACGTTTTGGAAAATATCAGCGTTTCGTGTTCGTTTTGACTTCGTGTGGACGGGGCCTTAAAGCCATGTAGGAAAAATATGTCTTTGAAAAGCAACGCAGCAAAACTTTCCTCATGCAACATATTGATCAAATCTTCATCTCATTTGATAGAAACCCAAACAAAAAGGTTTTCAAGTAGCCTCTAAAAACTGGATCAGCTGATCATAAAAACCAGCAGCAGTTCTGACCCGCCTGATGCTTCGGAACGACTGCTCAGATTCAGGGTTTCACAAACACTAACGGGCGACTGAGGAAGAGGAGCGATGGAAATGAATGCTCAGCTTCTGAATGTTAGTCTGATGCTCCACCTGCAGCAGCACTAAAACTCCAAGCCAGCAGCAGCTTTGTTAGAGTCATGGATGATGAGGATTAGGATGAAGTCAGGAGCGACGACATAATAAAGAGGAGGAGGAGTTGTACTCACATCCTATATGTGCGATACATTATTCTGCTCCGGAAAGGAAGGCAGGCAGAGCAGATCACACAGGAAGAAAGATGAAGGGTTAAGAGACAAACAACCAGAGCAACCCAGCATGCGATGGCAGAGAAACCAGGGGGACAGATTAGTTCAAAGACGGATAAAAAGACGAGGTTGGAGGAAGAACGGTCAGCATGCTGCTGATAAACAGCTGAAAAATGGAGTTTCACACACAAAGATGTAAACAGGCATCAGGGAGCGCAGAGAGACGAAAAAACAAAACAAAAAAACCCTTTGTTATTAAATAAATAAATAAATTAACACACTGACGACAAGTTGACGACTCCAGGATCTAATATAAGGGATGGAGGTGATGTTTTAAATCAAAATCTACGGTCAGATTCTCAGGACATTTTGGTAAAATAAAAACAAAACTGAGAAAACAGACAAAGCCTGAAGAACGTTTTATAACAATCTGTGTGAAGTTAACGATAAACACCAATAACTGAACGTCTACTGGCCCTAAAACCATTTCAACTATCTAAATTCAAATCAACTTCATTGAATGGTTTTAGTTCATCTAAGGTGATTTGTAAAGGAGCTGGAGCTAAAGATTTGTTGAAGTTAGTGAACCTTTACCTCACATGCCTGAGGAGCCGTTTCCTGTGCCGACCTCCTGAAAGCAGCGTTAGCATCACACGTAGCAGCGCTAACACTAGCGACACGATGCATTTCACCCCGCCTTCATTAAAACCTTGCTCCATCATTGAACTAGCTAGCTTGCTAACTACTTCCTGCTTATTACAGCCAAGCGTTACCTAAACGTCTGACAATGTTCTGCTTTGCATCGCCTGGTTCAACTGCAGTTTCCTTTTTTTGTTTGTGAACAGAAAGTTGGACTAAGATCAGATTCATAATTTTTTTCACTCTTTACTGTCAAAGTTTGCAGTGGTCACATCTTACTGATTTCCAGTGATCAGCAGGGACCTACTTGAGCTTTCCGGGGTCTTCCTGCGTTGGCTTACGGAGGAAGGTGGCGTTGGGGTTTGTTGGGTGTTCCCTCTGCGTCTTCTCGGGGGCGCTCTGCTTAGCCGGAGCCGCAGCCATCTTCTTTGCCGACCGTTTGATCCTCTCCTCCAGCATGCTCATGTCTTTCTCTGATAACTGCAAAATAAACATAAAAATCAGTCCTGGGTCGACGCTGTGGACTGCAGCTGCGGATTGGAATGGTTTTCTCCTACGTTTCCAATCAGTTTGTAGACTTGGTCCCCGCAGACGTTGTAGACTGCCACCACCGTGTTCAGGGCGGCGTTCCGGACCGAAGTGTCCCTGTCTCCGATGTGCACAGCGATTTCCTTTAGGCACTTGGCTGGAGTCGGCTGGCACACGTTCATCCCGTAGCCCTCGATTAGACAGCCCAACTCCTCCAAACACTCTGAGGAGCAAACAAGACCAAACATGAAGCAGGGAGCAACAACTCATCAGATAAAAAGGTTATTTTTCACATCAGGCCTTAAACAGCCCTTCAGGATGTCTCCATAAAAATCTACATGCCCCGGGAAGACTCAATGAGGCTCAGAAATTACAACCCCATCAATGGCAATCAACAACAGCCGGCCTAAATGCCAACAGTCAGTCCAAACATGAACAGTCTAGTGACTATAATCAGATTGGTCGTTTTCCACGGTGAGATCTGATTCCGTTTCAGACCCACCTGCTCTCTGCTTGGAGTTCTTGGACTTGGTTCCTTCCATGAGGAAAGGGAAGAGCTTGGAGGCTGGATAAACTTTGCACAGCATGGTGAAGATGGCCCTGACGTCTTTACGGACCACATCTTTCGATTCTCCCACCTTAAGAAAAATGAAATTTAAAAAACAAGTTGAGCTTCTCACTCTAAACGACAAGGTGAGCAGGAAATGCAAACAGATTCCAGAAAGAATTAGATGATGGACATTATGGTCCAGGTTAACTTTCTATTCCAAGTTAAATTGTATCCATCTGGACGGAGTCTGAGGGCAACAGATGCTCTCTGGACACGAGAGACTTCACCCACAAAGCTGAATATCAAGAGTGATTGAAGAAAACACGTCACATTTTTTTAACCACACTTTTTAAAAATATCCTCCATATTGAAGTCGACCGTGTTTTTAAGGCTACTAACGATTATTATGAGTCTGGCTGATCCCTGATCTGTTTTCTTGAGCTGATGTTGCTTTTTCATAATTAATAATGAGTGACAGTGCTGACAAATGTTACACGTGTCTCAGTTTAAACAAAATCTAAACATTTAATAAAAAGGATCCACCACTGGTTGAATGCATTGGCCTAAATAGGTTTTAATTTTCCTATCAACTTAAAAATTGCTGTTTGTGATACGTGAAAAGTCTTAATTACACATGTGCGTGCCAGCTGACCGGATTGCCTTTACCACTCCTGGCGTGATTTTATTTTTTTTTTCCCTTTAGCCCCCCTTCTGTTGTGAAATGATTTTTTAAAACTATTTGACTCAAACCTGCATTGAATTAGATGCATATTTGTGAGTGACATGAACACATGGAAAGCAAATTATTATCCAGCAATTCACTTTAATACAAAATAAACTTTACTGAATAAAATAAGTATCTATCTAGTCGATAAATATATCGACCTTTGCATTATCGGCAGAGCGCCTGCTCTGCCGATAATGCAAGCGTAGAAGAAGAAATGTGCCGTTTACCTGTGCAAAGAAAGAAACAACGAAAGAAAAATGTCTGAGGACTTCAGTGTTGAGGAAGTGCATGAGTTCTTTGCCGAGCTGAATGCGCACTTTCATCTGGTTCGGTATGCCGGCTTCCGTAGCGTCGGGATCGCGCATGTGCGCGCTTTCNTTGAATGTCAGCAGACAGCAAGAAGCCTCCCAGATCTCCAGATGCATTTGAGATATCAAAAAAGTACTCCAGAGTGTTGTTCAGCATGAGGGTGAGTAGAAAATGAAGGCTAATCATGTTTTGGGTTTACTATTCCTTTAAGTTTTGTATCTAACGTGCCCTTGTTCTTCATTTGCCATTAGCTTCTTACTGACTATTTTTTTTACTTTTGCAGTAATATGGGACAAAGTGCGTTCATTTTCCACTAAATACGGGACAGATACTTCCATTTCTAAATACAAAACTATTCAATTTTTCAAGGTACAGTTGGCAACCCTAGTTGAAACACACAAATCAGTATGTGATCTACTGTTAGCTACATTAGCTTGGGCTAACACCATTAGCAGAAGCTAACCTGAAATCAAAATCAGATCAGAAGATAATGAAGGAAAATTTAAAGTGACAGAACGATGAGTTACAACTGAAAGATGCTTCACTAATGAATCTGAAAAAAATGTTTTGATCCAGATGCTAAAAGCTAACTGCTAACAGCCTCAGAAGAAACTGGAGCTCTTTGCAGCATAGCTCTGCATCTGGGTTAGCATCTCCTAGCAGCAGCCAAACAAATAGCAGCTTCTTCAGACAGTTCTCCCCTCTTTGTTCGTTTGGTTCACATCTTCATATTTTTGTGTTTCTACATCATCAGTTTCAACGTGGTCTGGTTGAAAATGAAAAGGCTTAAATTTACCCAGTGCCATTTTGGCTGTACGGAGCTAAGGCTACTAGATCTAGCATATGTCATTTACCTCAAGGCCTTTCAGCATAGATGGCGATGTCTACATGACATTTTTTTATTGAAATTAATAAAACTGAACAGCCAACAGTTTTTTTTACTAGATTGTTTTACATCAAATATATATACACATCTCATATATATTTTTTAAAACAAATCATGACTCCTTTAACAAATCAAATAGAAATATTAAGCATAAATAAAAGGGAGCAAGTGGATGAAGCAGCAATGCATGAAGTATTCAGTGCCCCTGAACTTTGACCTTTTGCCACATTTCAGGTTTCAAACAAAGATATAAAATTAAATATTTTTTGGGACATAATCATGAAGTGGAATAAAATTTATTGGACATTTCATACTCTTAATAAAAAAAACTGAAAATTGGGTGTGCTAAATTATTCACCTCCCTTGAGTTCATACTTGTAGCTTTACATTTTGCTGTGATGACAGCTGCAGGTCTCTTGGGGTTTGTCTCTATAAGTTCTGCACGTAGAGACTGACATTTTTGCCCATGCTTCCTGCAAACAGCTGGAGCTCAGTGAGGTCGGATGCAGAGTTTGAAGAAGAGTTTTCACTTCATTCCACAGATTCTGGATTGGTTTCAGGTCTGGACTTTGACTAGGCCATTATAACACCTGGATGTATTCATTTGTGAACCAATCCATTGTAGATGTTGCTTGATGTTTTGGATTATGGAAGACAAATCTCCGTCCCAGTATCAGTCCTTTTGCAGACTCCAACAGGTTTTCTTCCAGAATAGTCCTTCCATTTCAATATAATCACCTGCACATTGCTCCTTGAGATGTTTAAAGGTTGGGAAACCTTTTTCCATCCAAATCCAGCTTTAAACTTCTCTACATCATGACAACATCAGTGATGCAGGTCAACAATGGATCATTCAGAGATCCCCACTGAATTTCTGGAGTTTGCTGCACTGAAAGTAAAGAAGCCTATTCATTTAGCACACCCCACGCTTCATTTTTTTTCCCCCCTCTCCACAACATGATTGGGTTCCACTGGTTGTTGATTCTTTACAAAAGAATATATACAATTTTATATCTTTTAGTTTGAAGCCTAAAATGTGGTAGAGTTCAAGGGGGTTGAATACTTTATCAAGGCACTGGATCAGTTAAAACTATCAACCTGCTGATGCTTTTTTTCCTCTCTGCCTCAAAGGTCCTGCAGCCTCTGGCTAAAGAGCTGCTGGTTCCACATTTAACGGATTTAATTTGCAGTATCTATCGCTTACGGCTCGTTTCATGGTTTGGTCAGATAAGTTCAGAGTGTGAATGAGTTTTTTTTATTTATTTTTTTTAAACAGATTTTGACTGAAACTCTCACTTTGAACATTTTTCACCATCCTGAGCAGCTGATCTTCATTCAGGTTTAAACATCAAGAAGTTTCCATCCTAACTGGGATGAATAAACGTCAGGATGTGACCAACTCCGCCACGCGCCAGGGGATCCACAGACCAGCGGCATGTTTGCTCCAATTTAATAAAGGCTAGTGGAGGTGGATAGTCGGTCCTCAGGGCCCGCTAGGTTCCCTCTGCTCTTTGTGACCCGCTCCAGGTTTGGCTTACTTGGCTTCAGTGTTGTTTTTGACAGCATCTTAGATTTAGTCTTAGTCTTCAGGACAAAAACGTCTATTAGTCGCATTTTAGTAATTATTATATGTGACAGTTTTATTCGACTAAAAGTCTGGTTTTAGTCAGTTTTAGTTATATTGCAAAAAAAGTTAACCTTTACGATTTCAAATAACCAGATTCTTTACCAGGCTGACAGCTCTAGCCTAGATACTACAGTTGCTGGTATAGAATGCTGCCATGCAGTTCATCGTTGCTTCACTTTGATTTATAGAATTCAAATAAACTTTTTTATGAATTAATGCCCTACTTTATACAATAGTCTCACAAAAGTTGTGAAAATGGCAGATTTAGTTCAAGACGTCATATTGGTTAATATAGCAGACAGACAGGCTAACAAAATGTGCAATGAAGGAATGGTTTTAGACATAAAAGGTTTCCAGTGTAAAGCAAAACTCTTCCTGATCTACTATGAATTATGCTTTACACACAGATCAATAAAATCTTCACTGCTCCAAAAAAGCAAAGAACAAAAACATTATTCTTTCTACTTTGGACATTTTGGCTCCCTTTCTTCGATTTGCCCCTTGGTTCCTGCTGCTCAGGGGTCAAACTAGATTTAAATTCACTGGGTTTTGATATTTAAAAAATACAGAGAGAACCTATATAATTGCCTTGTAATGCCATGGCAATAAAGGTCTAAATTGAATGAATATGCTAACTAAAATGTTAAAATATTCAAAGGACAAATAGAAAATGTTTTAATGACAATACAAGGAAATATTTACATCACATTTAAATAGATAGAACAATGAGATAAAAATATTAAAACATCCATGTACCTTTTCATCTGGCTCTTTGTCCAGAAAAAAACAGAATTCAATGAAATATTTGTTTTGGATATAATTTAGGGATTCTTTTTTCGTAGAAGTTAAAGAATGTTTAGCATCACCTGTTCTGAGCTGGAAGAAATAAAATATTGATAATAAAAGGATTTTTTTTTCACTTGACAGAGGATGATCAGCCACATATAGTTTATTAAGTAGCGAGATCAGGAAGAGTCATACTGCTGAGAGCGAACCATCAGAGTGGAGTGTGAAGCGCAGACTCTAAGCTCTGTGCACAGACGCATTTCTACACAAGCGGAGAGAAGATGAGAGCAGTTTGACAAGATTTGAACGTGCAGCATCAGACCATTCCAGGTTATTTTTCTCAGGCTCTGCCGCTGCTGTCATGAGCCATCTGTGCTCCTGCAGCATGGGCGCGCGTCAGGATCAAACAAGACGCAAAAGTACGGCAGATACTGCTTAGATTACAGCACAATGATGCATTTTAAATAGCTTACCAATGACCCGCTAATTCTTATTTAGTCTCGTTTTGTCTCACTGACTAAAACATGACTAGTCATAGGTGTGAGTTTTAGTCAAAGATCCATGTTTAGCACAAAAAAAAAAAAAAAAGGGATCGTCAACAAAATGATTTTGTCATCCTCATTGTTGACAAAAACAACCCTGTTCAGTGGTCACCGTTCATTTATCACCACAACTTATGACTAAAGTCTACATACTGGTCACCATTACAGCATCTATATTTCCATTTAATAAAAGCAGACGTTCTGCCATCAGTCTGCCAGAACAGAGACGCATCCATTGATCTGTGGAGATCAGCGCCTCCCTGCTGAGGAAAGATCAACTCGGAGCTCCAGATTCAGACAGGAACCTGAACCCTCCCACGCTGCTCTGAGCGTGTCTGCTTACCTTCAGGATCAGGTAGGGGATGAAGGAGTTTGCTTCGTACTCCGTCAGGTGGTAGTTCTCCCTGTTCAGCATGGTGAACAGCAGCTTCAGGTATTCCAGAACTTTCATCAGGATGGTGGTGTTGGTCTCAAAGAAGCGAAGCGTGACCCATTTCAGGATCAGGTCCAGACAGCCGATGGTGGCATCGCTTTCGCTGTTCAGCCTCTGTCAGACAGAATTCAGAGGTCAGTACCAGAACCAGATGTTCTGAAAACACAGTCTGACCCGCAGCCTCCCACCTCGATCATGACGCCGATGGCTTTCACGTGTCTCTGGAAGTCGAGGTGAAACAGCTCGTCCAGCAGCCACTTGGTGAAACAGGCGGCCATCTGGCTCTTCAGCTGCTCCACGTATTCATCCCGAGGAGTGATGAAGTTCCACTTCAGAATCTAAGGAACAAACGTTAGGTTACCGTTATTGCTGGACATGACTGGGACCCACTGAGTCAACCAGGACCCCCCGACTCGGGATGAAGACCTAAAAAGCAGCCAAACCGAAAACTGGATTAGGGCCCTATAATTTCCGCAATCACGGACGGAATCGTGGAATTGGCAAATTAACGCGGAATCTAGTATAAATGCGGAATTTCTACATTTGAAATGAAATTCTGTTTTTGTGTGGGAGAAGAACGTACGTCGGGGGGGAAATGCACACCAGGGGATGCAAATCTGGGCGACACAATCCCTCCCGCCCTGTCATTTCCGCTCACCCTCCCCCATCAAAACATTGAAAAAAATGGCGAAGCGGCTCTCCACAACTCCGCTTTCGGCAAAAAAGTTGAGAAACACGACACTAAGCCCCAAGTACAGAGCCGAGCAGTTCCCGCCTGACTTTTTCGTGTCAGGTGAACTATTGTTTTGCAAGTTTTGTCAACATTCCATTGATTGAAAGCGCAAAAATACATGTACTGACCACTTGTCATCCAAAATCCATGTGAGGAACAAGAAGTACAATAACGCTAGCATGTCCACCACGTCCCTACAGACGTGCCTTACTGCGACATTTAAGTCTTCTGACTCAAGAAAAGAGTTTGTTGAAGATTTTGTCGCCATGTGTGCTGAGGCTGACATCCCTTTGGAAAAGATGAAAAAACTGCGTCCGTTTGCGTCAGTAAAGGGTAAAAAAACTGAATTTGCAAAAATTAAAACGGAAAAAACGGAATTTGCAAAAATTAAAACGGAAAAAACGGAATTTGCAAAAAATAAAACGGAAAAAAACGGAATTTGGGGGAAAAATAAAACGGAAAAAATACGGAATTTGGGGAAAAAATAAAACGGAATTTGGGAAGAAACAAAACAGATTTTATAGGGCCCTACTGGATTTCAGTTATATCCCTATAGCCTGTTTATTTCTGAGAAGAGTTGGCTATTAGTGGCAGCTGGAACGGCTCACAGACCCGGGTTAAAAGTCGCCTTCAAACAACTCAGCTCAGATCGGCATACAGTGGGAACGACCTGGGTCGACCTGCTAATTTACATGATCCCATTGAGCTCTGTGTACATTCGTTGAACTTTGAGAAGCTAAGAGAGATTCAGACCGAAAATAGAACGAAACAATAAAGCACAGACTACGCCCTGTCTTCCTTAAAGGAATAGTACACCCAAAACATGATTAGCCTTCATTTTCTACTCACCCCCATGCTGAACAACACTCTGGAGTACTTTTTTGATATCTCAA